GGCCTCCAAAAAATGGAGGGAATTGCCAATTTGTGTAATGTAATCCTTGATTTGATGTAACAATCCATGCCAATTTTGTAATCATTTCAAACAGTGGCAGTAGTTGAATTATTTAGGCCTTGTTCGGCCATGAAGTAACCAAATCTCAGTTTTTTAAAGTTTTCTTTCATTAAGGGCAGTTTTGGCATTTCACATGTAAATAAGGCACCCACTAAAAAGAAGGAAAAGTCAAACCGGGAAGTTTATTCCCGGACGGAGGGAGTATTTATTATAAAATAATATCTTTGTAATTATATTTTATATATTACAAGATTTTGTAATTATATTTTATATATTACAAGATTTTGTTTTAGATTAACATACAAAAAAGGGTATTATTCATATTAAAAAGTTGAAGAAAAAATAATAATGAATGTGAATCATAAAAATAGTGAGATGAAAAAATGAAATAATTTATAAACTATAGTTATGAACATAAAAGTTGTAATAATAATAATAATAATAATAATAATATATTTTTTAGAGTGATTTGTCATAAAGTGGAAAGAATTTGAAGAAAATAAATAAAGTTGGAAGAAATTAGAAGGAACTGGAAAAAACTTGAAAAAACTGGAAGAAACTGGAAACAACTGGAAGAACTAGAAGAAACTGGAAGAAACTAGAAGAAACTGGAAGGAACGGAAAGAAACTGAAAGTTAAGAGTTCAAGCTCTAAAGAACAGGTCCTTAGAGTAATAAAACTACTACTTTTTTAGGGTGTGAAATTACTAATTAATTTTAAATAATAATAATAATAGAAAAATAAGAAGAAGATAATTAAGGGAGAGGGTGGGGGGCTGGATTGGAGGAAGAAGAAGAAAAGTAAAAAAAAAAGAAGAAGAAAAGCAAAAAGAAAAAAGAAGAAGAAGATGCCGAAGGCAGGGCAAATATGAAGAGGGGATGATGATGATGAAACAACGGAGGTAGTTGGAGCAAACGGAGGGATGGATGGAAAATCACCACTCAGTTAGTTTTTCAATATTTTAGGATACCTCGTAGTGTATTTTAAAAAACTAAAAGTATTTGGCAGTCATTATTTCAAAATAATAGAGGGTACCTAGCATGCATCAGTTTTTTTTAATTTAACTAGGTATTCTATCCCGACGGTTAAAAACAATGACGAGGTCAATAATCGTAAAGAAACTATTGAATGAACTTGTAATTCGCTTAGCTAATAAAATCTAGAATACAGATATTAAATAACGAAATTAAATAAACATAAGCATAACTAATACTCCCTCCGTCCCGGAGTATTCGTCCACTTTTGACTTTTGGAACTGTTCATCTAAGCACTTTGACTCATCAAATTCTCTCAATGTGTAAGCTTAAATATAGCCATGTGTGATCTTGTTTGATTTGTCTTAACATATAGGTTATTAATATATAATTTCTTTAATTTTTTAATATACAAATTATAAAATAAAATGGATTAAAGAAATGTATTGGATGATGTGTAAAAATGAAAATGGACAAATATTTTGGGACGGAGGTAGTACATATCATAATCCTCCTGCCACCGTGGTGTACTCCTCGTCCGACCCCTACGTCTTGTATCCTCCGTAACCTCCACGTCAGCGTGCTCAGCACCCTCGCTTGGTATCTCTGCCAAAGGTGAGCTCGCATGAAAAATACAGTACTAATTAAATATGAAAAGTCAAAGTAGAAGTCATCCCTTCTAATTGATTTGTGGTTTTTGAGCGCCATTTTCAATAAGTTTTTATTTAAAAATGAACTAATTTGAAAAACATCCCATTAGTAAATTAGTACTCCCTCCGTCTCCCATAGATCTTTTCAATAGCCCTTTTTCTCTGTCCACAATAGATTTTCTCATTTCATTTTTTAACAATTAAAGTACCACAACTACCCCCACTTACTTTATTTATTACACCTCATCCACCTCATTTAATACACTCCACCCATTTTTCATTAAGGATATTATGGTAAACTTTCACCTTTTTCAACTCTCCTTAAAAACCACCAAAAGTCAAAATGAGAACATCTTAGGGGGACGGAGGGAGTATAAGTTTTAATGACACTTTGACGACTGTTAGTCGGGACTCGAGATTAATTAGTTTATCTCGGAGATCAATTTGAAAAGATCTAATTCGTACAATTATTGAACATCATTTAAAAAATTTATTTTTTGTTTAACACTAATTAATCAAAAATGCTAAGAATACACACCAAAAGAGATACACTACCTTATTAAATGCATTGAATGTTTAGTGCTCAAGTCCGGTGCTTTGTTGTTTTGTCCACTGCTGGCGGGGCGGCTCACTTCCCCAATGAACTGCTCAACTTCCGTTCACTCACATCTGTCTCCACTAGCTCTGCACTACTACTATAGCTTAGCCCCACCCACTCTTTTACATTCCCCCCTTTTATTAATGAAAAATGCTAGGGGTACACCAAAGGTGTACTTCATTTGTCCCCCACCCCTTCCATTACCACTTAAATATGTAAGAAATTTAAAAAAATAAAGTAAATAAAAATAAAAAATGAATGAATGGTTATGGAGGGGGTGGTGTACAAATGGGGTACACCAAATGGTGTACCCCTAGCATCTTCCTTTATTAATTCTTGTTTCATAAAATGAAAATACTCCGTATTGTGGGTAATACTCCGTACTAAAAAGTGTTATATCAAAACAAATACTCCCTCCGTCTACAAAAAAGTTTCCCGTTGCGCGTTACGATGTTTGACTGAATTTATTTTCAGATTATTTTATGTGAAAAATGGTGTAAAATTTAAAAATAAAAATTACATATTAAAAAACTATATATATCAAAAGATCTACAAAACTATAGGTAACATGCCTATATTATTTTATCAAATGGGTGACAAAAATAGGCTAACAAAGTGAATAAAATTTGACCATGTGAATAGTGAACGAGAAGTTTATTTGTGGACGGAGGGAGTACATACATTATGTTTGTGTCGAACACATATGAACTATGAAGTGTCTATATTTGTCTTTAGTATATACTCCCTCTGTCCAATTTATAAAGTTCCCGTGTATTATTCATGATGGGTGTATTCCACCCATGACCGGTCAAAGAAGGAGACCAAATAAGTTGACCGGTCAACCCGGATGATTCCGGAAAAGAACTTTAATCGTCGTTAGTTTGATGCTTGGTCTATCACAATATGACCGGTATACTCCAGCAGAGCGGGTGTACCGGTTGAAGTACCTTGTCACTCAGATCAGTCCCTAATTTCGATAAATTCATCCCTCGGAGATTACCCGGTGTAGTTCTAAGGATTGGAAAGCATCGGCGAAAGGGGATCTAGA